CACATCAAGTGAAGATACGAGTGATGATTGCACCGAATAAAAATAAAGTTCTTATATAATATTGAAAATAAAGTTTTATCTTTTGAATAAGTACGTACTTATTCGGAGATAGCAGTACAACCTTAGTAGTACTGCTATCTACCACAACCCTTATAAATCCCAGAATACATTAAGTTTTTACACAAAAATCAATCAAAACTATTTTCCCCTAAAATTTTGAAAGATTTTTACTTCCAGTCCACTTTCACTCATCGTGATCTAAAAAAAGTACTGACACTACTATTGCAAGTTTTTTTTTTTAAATTGACGCAACTAACCAAGATTTTAAATGGTATAATACTCTAGAATACTTCTGGCACAGGATTTTTGCTGAAAAATATTGCATGAATCAAAACAAAGTGTACAAATATTTACATTTATTTTATTTTTTTGCATTATTAATATTACAGTAAATGTTCGAATTGTTGGCCACCGGCATTAATACAGGCACGGCATCGCCTTAAAAAAGATCTTTTTATTCGTCGTGCATATCTTCTACCATTGATATGATCCGCAGCCTGAGTGATATTTTGGCGAAGCCAAGCCATCCAAGGTTGAAATATGAGTAAACCCTGTCTTTGAGACAACCCCAGTAGAAGAAGTCCAGGTCCAGTTAAATGGCGTGAACTTAGTCCTATCTTATGGCCACCCCGGCCATCCAACTCGCCTCAAGTCGCCCGATCCAACGTCCTGGGTACTCTTGGTTTAAATATTTTCGCACAAGACGGGCATAGTGAGCTGGGCAACCATCATTTTGAAACCACATGTTTTGTAAGTCACGCAAAGGCACGTCTTCTAATAATTCTGGCAAGTCGTTTTGTAAAAGTTCAAATAACTATTTCCATCTAAGTTTCCTTGTAACTCAAAGGGCCCAATTACTTTTCTATTTAATATGCCCGTCCATAATTTAATCTTGAATTGATATTGGGATTTGTTTTGCCTCATCAGGTGCGAATTTTTATTGCTCCAACTATGTAAGCTGTGAAGATTTAAATAGCCATTTTTCTTGCAGGTTGTTTCATCCGACCATAGAACTTTATCTAGGATTTGGGGATCTTCCCTGTGCTTTTGCAGCATCACACGGCAAAATGCGACCCGTGGGTAGTCCCGCGGTAATAACATCTGCACACGCCTGTAGTGGTATGGGTGAAGCCTGTAACGTTTAAGAATTCGATGCGCAGAAATTTTTGGGATTGAGAACTTCTTCATCGCGTCCCAATCTAGGACTTCCAGCGTTTCTCCTGGCAGATGGTAAACGACCCTCCGTAAACGCTTGATGCACATTAATAAATACTCGATAATCAGGGTATCTTTGAGCATTTGGGTACCTTTCTCGAACAATCTGCTAGCAGCGTTAGCATTGCATCGGCATTCTCCATAAATGAGATACATATTAGCGTATTCCAACGGTGTGTTCGATAGTGGCATGATAAACGTTAAGCAGTCAAAAATACGCTAATAGTCCAATTCACAAAACACACAATCATAGTCCAAAATAATGCCAGGTCAGTTCAGTTTGCAGATCACCAGTCCAAAAAGCGAAGCCAAAAGTCGTTAGTACGAGAGCCACATCAATTGAATACTGATACGGTGCACAGTAAACAAAGGATCAGAGTGTACTGACTGACTTGTTGAGAACACTAAAGCAACTTGTCTACCTGCCCTATTGTTATTAAACAATGAACATCATCTATCTCTCTCTAACGTATAGTCTCCCTCTATCTATCTCTCTCTAACTTCTACATTTTACTGACTACCCACATCTCCAATTCAAGTTCTAAGAACTTGCAACAAAAACCTTTTTTGGCATATAGTGTAGTGCAGTGAAAGTGATTAACTAGCAACAAACAATGTTCATAATTTCGGTTCTTGTTTAGAAATAGTAGGCTTTTTTTTTGTGGCTAGTTTTCCAAGAGTATTATACCATTTTAGAATCTTGGTTAGTTGTGTCAATCTAAAAAAAAAACTTGCCATAGTAGTGTCAGTACTTTTTTTTACACCACGATGAGTGAAAGTGGACTGAAAGTAAAAATCTTTCAAAATTTTAGGGGAAAAAATAATTTTGATTAATTTTTGTGTCAAAACTACATGTATTCTGGGATTTATAAGGGTTGTGGTAGATAGCAAGTAGTACTACTAAGGTTGCCGATACAAAAAAATACAAAAAAAATTAAAAATGAAAACAATATGGTCATTAATACCTACAAATATTATTTTAAAGAAACTTGGCCTAATGATAAATACCCTGTATGGGCAAAGAGATGGCGCAGAAAGCATTTATTTAATTTAAATCTACATTATACAATAATTCAAATTATAACAAAATTTATAAAAAGTGTATTTTTTTTGTTTGCTATACATTTTTTTAAACTATATTGTCTACTTAAATATATAATCTATCAAAAAGTTACGCACCCCTGCTACTCCTAATAACCTTGTATTGGTTTTGTTTACATGTGGTATCGCGTCTCGTTGGCAGTAAAAGATTATAATAAATTATATATATATATATATATATATATATATATATATATATATATATATATATATATATATATATATATATATATATATATATAATAAATAATAACATAGATAACATAAAAATGACACACCAAAAATGTTCCATCCACTGAACTCCATCCTAAGCAAACTTGTATAATGGAAGATTAAGATCGTTTAGTCGCTATACTCATAGTAATAGTATTTCAACTACTCTCCGTATGAGATGGTTCTCGTTACCTCTACACTTCATGGTATATATTGTTACTATTTGATATTGTGAGACTTTTAATTCCTTATTCATTTATAACCAACAAATTCTACTTTTGGCAGTACTTAGTTGTTTAAGCCAATTTTATCAAAAAAATCCAATAACATTTTTTATAATAGAGGTCAGTGCCACAAACTAATAAGAAGTGCCATTTGACGTTAATTTATGAAAAATATAAACCAATGTTTTAGCTACGCTGGTACTTCTTATTAATACATAAGTGGTTTTAGCCAACTGATAAATAAAATACTTGATGATAGGGTTCGATAAACAAATTACAAAAATAGTTGCAAATCATCTTAAATAAACTCCTTGTTCGGGTGTTCTCGCTACACGGCCCGAGTATACGCCTATTCTCCAATTGATGTCGGTTTTTGGGCACGAGTAAATGGACTGCTCGTAGGTATTCATAACGCTGTTTACATACTCGTCATTAATCGTTTGTAGGGTTACCACCCGTACTTTATAAAAAGTATTGATCAGTGAGTCAATGATACACAACGAATTAAACAGGGTTATTTTTTAATAACAGGCCAAATTTGCAGAGAAGGTTCCGAATAAGTAATATAGACAAATGGTAAAGAAAAATTAAAAGAAAAATCTTAGACGTTTTTCCTTTTTAACTTTTATATTCAAAATGCGTGGTAATGCACTATTTTAACAGATTTTACTGCACACGCACACATTTGTAAGGGTAGATCGGTAGGCAAAAACGTTGTTGCCTATAAAACACATGCAATTTGAGATAATTTCAAATCAAATTAGAAGTCTTATACCTTTTCTTTTTTTGTACTTAGATTTAAAATTTGGTGACTCTTTAAAAAATAACCCTGTATATAAGTTATGTATGGCGCAACAGCGTAATTTTTTCCTCTAAATAGGCAATTCTAATTGTGACATTCACATTCGGTAGCTCACATTTTTTCGACAACTAGTCCATAGAGTCACACAGAGAACCCGAGTAGAGTAATATAGAAATAGTCCCTAATGATTGGAAAATGCAAATTATTATCCCCATTTTAAAACCAGATAAAAATCCTAGTCCTATTCTCTAACCGTAAAAAACTACGTTAAATATAAACTACGTTAATACTCTTATTAGTTTGTGGAAATCACAGAACACTATTACTCCTATTAAACTTATACGGCTTATACCAGTTCAGAGTTAGCAGAGACGACGCTATACAGATCCCATATCGAACTAAACAGTTTCATAGTTTATTTGGTTTGCTACACACGAACGAAGGCGCGAAGCAGTCTTTATAATTTTATTAATGACATTATAAGAGATTTAACTTTTTTAAATCCATATAAAATTAAGCAACGCAACACTCCTTTTTCACTTCTGCACATATCACAAAGGTTTCCACTATTAGTATCAGAAAATAAATTGCAGGCATTGGACAATGAATGGCGCCATTTGAGATTAATTAAAAATAATATAAAATTGAACGAAGATCTAGAAAAATTCTGGGTCAAAGTTTTTAGCATGGCGAATACAGATGGAAATTTGCTATACCTCACATTAAAAGAATTTATTCAGAACCTTTAATATTTTCATCAATTAATTTAATTAAAACCAAGACAAGGAATAGCTTGAACACTGAGACTATCGAAGCATTAATTTTAACCAAACAGCTAATTAAAAATAAATAATGTTACTCTTTCTCTGCAGACAAAACTATGTTGGACAAAACTATTAAAGAAATATATAAATCTAAATAAATATTTCTATAATTTTAATTACTTTTTATTATCACATCTTAACTTACATAGGTCAAAATCTTTTACTTTGATTCTTTTCTACAGACATTTTACAGAATTTTTACACTAGCAGGACAGAGTCATACAGATTTTATTTGTTCCATTTCTACATATATTTACAGATTAGTTAAAACTGACATGTGCACAGAGTACCTTTGTATAAACTGAAATAGGGAAATTGCCCATTGAATCATCCTAATATATTAGCTAATTAGCTATTCCTAAAATATAAATGGTGTAAACTTTTGTTCTTATAATTAAATAAATTAAAAAACAATTCAAAACCTCTAAAGTAATTATTTAGTGGAGAAAGTCCGAGTGTGATAAGGAAATTAGGGAATTTTAATTTTCCTTGTTTCATTTACTCTTACTACGTCTTTTGCACCTTTTGTATGGTTTTATAAATCTGGACTCTTGATTCAGAATGTTTAAATTAGTACGAATTGATGACGAAAACCATCCCGAGATTCCATTGTTGGATGGAAAGCAAGTAATTGGCCGGTGTCAATTTGATGTAAGTGTAGATATTGTATTTTGAATAAACCTTGTGGTGCCGGCATGGAAAATTATTTATTAAATCACCTTGTTATATCAATTTTGATTTTCTTAGGAATCGGCAAAATCTATTTTGTTAGACCTAGCACTGTCAAACGAACGAGTTGTCAAGTATAAAGAAGTATAATTTAAAATGTTAATTATTATAGCATATATTTAGTTATCACTTAGAACATTAAATTCTATTATTTCCTATTATTTCACTTCAATAAGATTTAACTTTCTTTTTCTTAAAATAATTCGTTTGCAAAAGATTGTATATTAAATATGACAAACATGTCTCACAATGTAAAAATGTGTGGTTGCCCTGTAGTATTTATAAAATACTATATTTATGATAACATATTGAAGTCATACTGTGTACATTGTCACAATTATTGCTTTAACATTGCAGTGTGATGACAAAAGGATCTCCAGAAACCATGCAGAATTAGAGACAACAACTGATACAGTTATTATTAAAGCTGTAAGTATTATTATTAAAGCATGTGTTGTTATTTTTATTTAATACTAGCTGACACCAGCAACTTCGTCCTAGTTGCTTAATATATTAGCAAAGAAAACACATCATGGAACACTTAGTGCTTATAAAATGGGCAGATTGCTAATTCTTATCATAAAAAAATAAATTTTGATTTTGTTACAAATAAAATTGTTGGGTTTGGATGAAAAAAATCATAATCGAAATTGAATTATTTTTAATTGAAAATTTTGGCTATTTTATTCAATTTTAATCTTTCATCAACAAAATAACATTTGTTTAATTTGTTTAACATTAGTTTAACTTTTATTTTGTTAACAATTATAAGAAAAAATACACTGTATTTATATCAATAAGAGTTTATTATGAATTTTGAACTACATATTTAATTTATTCATTTATTCGGAAAACCCTCAGCTAACAATAAACAGAAACGGTAGAAAGTAATCAAGCTATTGGAAACCAATTATCGTTTTGTATAATAGTAACATTTGCCTGTGGTTAATTACCACAGTTAATAGGACACTATTGCATCAACCAGCCGTAAGCTTTGCTAGCTAACATCCCACTGTAACTAACTAAACTTTACAGAATAGCAAAATAAAAACAAAATAATCAGCTGGAGTAAAAAATGACTTACTTAGAACTCGTCTTGTGGAACTGACACTTATGTTGTATAGGTCTAAATCCAAAGATCTAGACACAATATTAATGTGCTGCATTGTGCCTTTTATATATCTTGGCCATGAGTAGTGATAATAGGACCTTTTTAAAAATTATATAAAAAATTTTGGAGTCTCAATATTTAATTTCGAAAGTAGACCTGGACAGTCGATTAATATTAAAAAATGTGATAAGAATAGATATAATTATTTTTCACATAAAATGGTTTAAATATCTTAGTAGATAATTTATTTAGGTCACTCTAACCTTTGAAAAAAATTTGGGTTCTGTCAATATAATGATAATAATCATAATGTGATTTCAAAATAATATGTAATTGTATTTCTGTGAATATTACACATTAATTTCTTTGTTAACTTAATTTTGGTTTTTATTTTAAATAATGGCAAGATTTTAAAAATATCTCTTTTATTGAATAAAATGAAAAAAAAAAATCTAATATAACCTTAATTATCCTCTTGTGTTGAAATAATACTAGTTTTTATGGAATTTATCGCGTATATTTAACTTTTTAAATATCCGACGTATCAAGCGCTTTACAGCACCCATGTTCAAGGGAGGGGCTGAGATGTTCAACGTCCAGATGTCATAGTTAATTGCGACTACCATAGATTAAAATTTAACTTTTGTTCCGATCTACACAGTATGAACTTACGGTATCTTGAAGTCTTGCAGTTATATGCTTGGGTTGGGATTTAATTTTATTTATTATAGGATCCCAAGAAGATGATAGCACCCAGCCATTTTCTCCATTGAAATTAGGATTTTTTTTGATTTCAATAGCCTCGCGAATCATCCTTGGAAGGAATCGGTGTTCTTTAGCGAGGATTTGTGGTCTATCAAATCTGATGCAGTGACATGGGTGATTCTGTACATGTTCACAGACTGCAGACTTCCCGGAGCGTCGATTCTTCACATCAGCTATATGTTCTTTAACGCGGATTTTAATTGATCTTTTAGTTTGTTGTAGTATTATTTCAATGTGTAGTGTTCACGTAAATATAAGAAATCATTATCCTCTTGTGTACTAGCATTTTTAGTAGACTTGTATAAATGATTAGTAGAAATGACTCAATTTTAAACATAAGTAAAACTAATGTTTACATTTTATACTTATTTTAAAAATATGGGCTATCTTCAATCATCCTGGAAAACTGCCATAAACCTAAATCTAATTAGGAACTATAAAATTGAAGAATAATCCCAAAATTCATCATTATGAAATTGATATTTTTGTCTCATACATTAAGAGTGTGAAATATATATAATACATACTTTTGCTGTTATCTTCTGTATAACATTGAAGTATTTGCAACATATATGGGGTATGTTCCGAAATACAAACCAGTACACTGGCAAATGCAAATGACCTCATGAATAGAAGCTATACTGGTGATTCGTTCCAAAACAAAGGACAGTATATGACGTCAAACATTTACGCCATATTGGAAAAGTGTTGGCGATTATTTTGTCATTTTGTGCTCCAAAAATCATAATATCTTCCTAATGGAGATACCAGCAATTATTCTATACTTTTTTGTATTTGAATAAATAAAAACAAATTCTGGCATGCTTCATTCAGTGCACACACAATTAAAAATTGTTTTATTGTGGCCGGATATCCGAGGCAATATGGCGGCACGTCAGTACAATATAGTGTCAATTGATGATGTGATTTGCATTTGCCAGTGTACTGGGTTGTATTTCGAAACATACCCATGATAGACATATCACATTGATATTAAACAAAGCCAGTCTGTTTATACTATTTTATGTTTTATCAAGCACTATATGTTGTTATCTATGTTCTTATCAAGCACTTGATGATAACAGCACAGGCTAATATACGTACTCAAGTACAGTTTTTAAATAATAATAATATTTTATATTAGGTTCTATTCATTGCTGCGCTGGCACAGATTTCGATATTGTCTTCTTTTTTTATCAGATTTATCATCTGTCAATCTACTTCTGGACATGGACCTCTCCTGTTGTAAGATTTGCCTTAAACATTGAGCTTGGCACAATCCAAACAACATGTTTGGATTTCAACTTTGACACTGCTTTTAGATTTAATATGTCTAGCTTAAATGAGATCATTATCACCATCTAATAATCGGAAGCTTTATGATATTTTTAATTGATGATATAGGGTGATGATTTTTATTGCCGGACATTAGCTTTTTCAATTTTAAGGAAGAATTCTTGTCAGTGATATGGCGATTGTAATAAGAAACATATTTTGGACGCTGCTCCGTGTATTTTATGTCTGGCATATACGGGATTGTTGCCATTACTGTATAGTGGTATTACCATGCAGTGACAGGGTAAGAATTTCCACTACCCAGTACTGACCTATGAGTGTCTTAAACGGCGATATAGGGAAATTGGAAAGGAGATGCGCGGCAGTGTCTTCCTGATAACAACATAAAATTTTAAAAAAAACTGCGGTTGCTAACCTGTCTGCCAAACGTGGGCACTACAGCAAAATCCCTTCTATGCGGTAATATATGAGGGAGGCCTACGATTTTTGACTGTAATGGACGGTCGGTTCACAATTGACGAAGATATCGAGTAACATAGGTACATACAAAAATCAGAGAAAAATATAACATAATTGTAAACCTCTTTTCTGCAGCCATCTAAAAAACAATTAAGTCTCGATCAGACAGTTATTGTTTGTAAAATCAATACTTGAGGCTCAACATATCAACTGTGGTTCTCCATGTAGCGGCGCCATAGGAGTATCCACTATGCCAAATCAACTCGTGGGTGTCGTAAGAGGAAATGGAACAGGAGGTCCATTTAGTCTTTATGTGGTAGAGCCATGCTGCAGTTATATTAGTAATATAGTTGTAGCACGAATGGGTCGGCGCGGCCGGGTAGGGACCACGCTCTAGCAGAACACCAGTGTGAAATAGCAGCTTAACGCTGCTGTGTTTCGTATAGTGAGTGTAGAGAACCGGAGATCCGTTTTACTGGAAACGAGGCATTCCATCTTAGTCCTCACGAGTGAAAACGCATCTGTATTTTGATTCGTAATCGAAAATAGATGTAGATGTGTATGGGCCACGGCAACCAATTAACATCAGGTGGACTGTGCTCGTTTGTCACCCTATCCTGTAAAAAAAAAACATTTTATCATTAGATATAAATTAACAAAAATATTTATTCGTGATATTTAAAAATATCGGTATTTTTAGCCCCACCGTAGGTAGGAATGTAGCTTTGTACATTCTTGCATTATATTCCACAATATAGTATAGCGCTTGCGGTTCGAATCCCGCATGAAACTAATTTTTATATTTGTATGTCCTACAAATATTATAATATCGTATATTTGAAGTAGCAATTTGCAGACCAATCATGAGAAAGAGTCTCGAGTGTCAGCGCTGTACCGGGATGCGAAGTGGCGGTCCCCCTCTGGGTGTGATGAGATGCAAAAAGTCGATGAATACATGTGGCTCAGGTTCGTTTTTGTGGCATTCTTTGTAGCGATGATGATGATGATTTAATATGGATTTGGATGGGTGTTGCTGCTATTTTAAGCTGGTATTGTGTGGAAGTGTGGTCCTACTACTGTCGAGCAGACCCATTCGTGCTCCTACAATATATATATATATATATATATATATATATATATATTCCATAGTAGCGAATTACGGACGTAAACACTTAAAAGTACATATCAGGTTTCTGTGTCACTTTGAAATAATAAAATACTTGTTTTAAAATTTCTCAGAACACTTACTACAGTCATTTGATAACGTTCAAAAACAATATCAGTTAGATAGGACTATGCAATGTACTTTTATGGAATACTAGCGATCCGACCCGGCTACGCTCGGGGAGATTTCTGAATCTCGATAACAGCGCCACCTACCGGGTCGAATTGTGAATCTAAATCATCCAGGAACCATCCTACTCAAACACACATTAAATTTCATATGAATCGGTGCAACTGTTGAGGAGGAGTTCAGTGACAAGCACACGTACAGAAGCATACTTGTAGTAATAATTATTAAAAGTCATTGGTACATTTACTACTGGGTTGGATGAAAACTTCTGCCCTGAGAAAACCCATGAAGAAACCCAGCGGGACCTTTTTTAAATCAGTAGTACTTGACTATTGCCTACACGTGTGCGTCAATGTTCGTAGAGCTGAACGCGGATGTTTTTTTTTTTTAAATAGGATAAGTGTAACAAAATACCACACAGTTTAACTGATGGTAAGTGAATGGTGTGGCCCATTTACATCTACATTTATCCTCGATTACGAATTAAAATGCAGATGCGTTGTCACCCCTGAGGACTAAGATGGATTGCCTCGTTTCCAGTAAAAAGGTTCTCTGGTTCTCTACACTCAACATACGAAACACAGCAGCATTAAGCTACTATTTTACGCTGGTTTTCTGTGAGAGTGTGGTCCTTCCCTGGTCGAGCCGACCCATTCGTACTACAACTATACTACTAATGTAACTGCAGCATGGCTCTACCACGTACAATACTAGTTGCGATGTAAAAGTATATAAACATGAAGAGAATTATTTTAACCACGAACACAGAATGTTCATGTTGCACCGCACTATTTTTCCCGCTATTCGTTTATGACGTCATCAGGGTGTCGTCTATCCTTGACCACGGCGCCCAATGAACTAATAATCGATGTCGCGCTAAGGATGCGCCAGAGTTGAGATATTACATTTGTTATGCGAAATTGATTTGATGAAATTTTCTTTTATTCATGTAGCTTGTATGGATAGTTTTATGTTTCTTACCTTTTGTTTTATTCAAATATAAATAATAATTTAAAAAAATAATACGTTTGCGTTTAATTTTGAAAAGTTTTCAATAAATCTATGCCTAACGCATTACAACACTAGCGGAATGTAGAATTAAAATACCAGTAATAACTTTTCTGTATTTATATTTAATATTTTTGTGGACCGGTTTTTTGTCGACTATAGATGTCGTTGGCGCACAGGTCCCGCAAGTGCTGGTCCAGTATAGGTATCTTTGGCGCTCAAAATGTTAAATCAATAGTACTTGACTATTGCCTACACGTGTGCGTCAATGTTCGTAGAGCTAAACGCGGATGTTTTTTTTTTTTTTAAATAAAATAAGGGTGACAAAATACCACACAGTTGGACTGATAGTAAGTGGATGCTGTGACCCATAGACATCTACATTTATCATCGATTAGGAATCAAAATGCAAATGCGTTATCACCCATGAGGACTAAGATGAAATGCCTCGTTTCCAGTAAAAAGGGTCTCCGATTCTCTACACTCAACTATACGAGACATACCAGCATCAAGCTGCTATTTCACGCTGGTATTCTGTGAGAGCGTGGTCCTTCCCCGGTCGAGCCAACCTATTCGTACTACAACCATAATATAATAAGCATGGCTCTAACACGTTTAAATATTAGGTATCATTGTAAAACTAAGTATATGTGTGTGAGCAATCCATTGACGTGGACCTAATGATAGGGAAAATATGTTGTAATCGTCGCTCTTAACAGGCGACTGACACCAGACTAGACGTTTAATACTTTAACGGCGTGAGGCATAATAGGTGTAATGCGATATTTTAGATCCGATGTTTCAGATTGTGTATCTACGTGTGCGTATATGGCTTAATTAGAAAGTGGGAAACTCGCGGCTTTAATTGCTTGGGAGGTTACAAGACAATCTGGCTTTGCATAAGATAAATAATATGTTTTTTTTTCAGTTACATACAAATCCATGCTTTTACGTTAATAAAAATATGCCGGGTGCAAAAACAATAAACCAAAATTCCACTGTATGTGGATTCGTTGGCGATAAAATTGGTTTTTTGCCTGACAAACTTTGGTTTGAAATTAGGAATAAAGACATAAATGGTGACAAACCGGTAGATATAAGTGATATTCAACCTCTTAGATATCTCATACAGAAGCGTAAGGATATATTGGAAACGAGTAAAAATGATAATTCTGAAAATGTGCCTAATAGGAGTGCAGTTACAGAAACTATCACAGTCAAGAAAGAATTAAATGAAACAAATGTACGCTTAGATCCGCCAAGTTCGCCGTCGATATTATGTAAGTTTGAAATTTTTATTAAAAACTCTAAATAATAAATATAGGAATGTATGTCTTAGTTGGCTCTGTATCAGCTCGAACCCTGGGTACTGTACGATACTGGGTACTGATGCAACGGAAGTGTCAAAACAGAAGTCAAAAGTAAATTTTAGCTGAAACAGAAATGGACACGGATGCAGAAGCGGAAGTGTAAATACTATGTAAAAAGTACACTTTATGACAAATATTTTTTTTATTAGATTAACATTTAAAATTAAGTAGCGGTAAGTTATATTTAATGACCTAGAAATTTGTTTCGGTGTTTTTCATGTATAATAATAGCTGTGCTAAATAATTGCTCACTGGTGACGCTGCTTGGAGGAACTTAAATATTGGCGAACTAACTGCAAAGATTAAGATATTTGTGTGCATTTCATTTCCACCACATTTTTTTACTTATTATAAGCCAGTGCTTGACCACGACCCCACCTGGTGGTAAGTGGTGATGCAGCCTTAGATGGTAAATCGCACTGTCTTAGCGTAACAAATGCCTATTCACTTTTGCCATACAGACACCCAGATTTTTTTTTATAAAGAATATTAATGCTATAAACATTACTAATATTCCCCTTAACCACTCGTGGTAAGCTTAAATTGCTTGTGTTACGAGTGGTTCACGCCAGTAGTCGAGTGGCGGTTTCGAACCCACGACCTTTTTGAGTTCGCGGTCCGCGCCCTGCCATTAGGCTACTGTCGCTATTTGTATTCGGACGGAAAGATAGACGCCGGCAAATTATTCCACCCCTTTGCTGTACGCATTCAAAAGTCGAAGTAAACCATTTGGTTCTAATGCGTGGAATATTGACAAAAAACGGGATGAAGACCCGCCGACCGGCTGGTTGTCCGACGGTGGTAAGGAGAGCCAGGAATTAAAGCGTGCAATTCCTGCGCACACTCCGAAATGTATCCTATAAAATACCGAAAGGCTGGCTACTTTACGCCTGTGCTCCAGGCTGACAAGGTTGGTTTCAACCAAATCAAGGTCACCAACGAGCCTCTTAGCACGTCTCTGCACTGAGTTCAACGCTTTCAGGTGGCATTTTTCAGCACCGGCTCATATGTGACAGCAGTACTCCATACATGTCCGGACTTGCACTTAATATAAGGTAAGGAGCTGTGCCGGCGTGAAGTACCGCCGCACCCTTGCAAGAACACCAAGTTTCCTTGCGGCTGCTTTGACTCTGGACTCAAACAACTGAAGGCGGTAAGTGTACTCAAAGGATACAATCCGGAAAGTAGGAGCCAGGATTAGTGGGCTCCTTTTTGCGGTGGTAAGACAAGCTTGTGTTTTGGAGGCGTTGAATCTCACGAGATTGGCATCGCTCCAGTCGGAGACTGCCTGTAGTGTGAGATCCACACGCTCAATCATAGCCTCTCGTTCGGACTGGATTTGATCCCGACTGGTCCGAGGACTTGGTTAGTATCTCTCCACAACTGTGCTATCGTCTGCATACCCATAGATATCGGGTATAAACAGATCGTTAATATGCGGCAGGTAGAGAGTTGCGGAGAGAACAGACCCCTGAGGTTCCACGCCTCTCTCCCAGCGTGGTCGGTCTTCTGGTATGGGAACAGCCAGTCCTGATGACATGCATTTAAGTCCCCCAGAAAAACCAACTGTGCATTAAGGTACTGATTGAGAGCCACATCAGAGGCTTCACTGAGGTGTTCAAATAGCCTAATTGTCTCCTGGTCACCGCTGTGCGATCGATAGACACAGGAATAAATAATTTTATCAATTCCTGTGTCTATGTGGTATACAAAAATACAAATCGTAGAGAAAGTGGGGTCTTCAAAGTGACGAAGACGCTTACAGCAGATGTATTTGCGGATGTAAACACAGACTCCGGCGCGCTGATGGAAATTATGCTCAAATGTGTACCCAGGGTAGCTAAGATACGCCGCAGGCTACATACTCTTGAAAGGTGGATTACGTCTTTAAAAAAGATTTTCACTCTTAACATTTGTAATGATTAATTCATCATTGATGATGATGAAGGTTGGACTTCATCCTCAATTTGAGATCGCCAACTTTAGGGAAAGGCATGCCATCATCAAAATTCCGATCAAATTTACGTTATAAAAGTTGCGAAAACAGAAGCAGAAACGGAAGTTAAAAAGCGTGTAGAACTTCCGCAGTTGCGAATACAGAAGCAGAGGTCTGTTGCATCACTAGTACTACGCACTGAGGACTGCTTCGTTAGTCTAGTGGCCGTAAGCGCGACCTTAATGGCAGCTCGGAGTTAGGAAACTGGCGGTGTTTTACCCCCTTGCCTCGGAAAGTACGTTAAGCCGTTGATCCTGCGCCTTATTTCTCCGGTTTTGTTGGATTCCCTTCTCAATGGACTATGAGAGCGAAATAATAAAGTGTATTTGTGCTTGCACACACTTGTGCACTTTAATCTCGTTATGTGCTGATGACTAGTCTCCATTGTGACAGGCTTTCGTAACCGAAACTTCCTTTGGAGTGTGTCACAGACTTTGGGTTCAAATGTCAACTAAGATTATTATTAATGTAAAAATATATAAATTACAAATAAAGACAAAGGAGATGTGACCCTGCCTGTACTTTATTATATGTATATTTTTCGTTATTGACTTGATTGACTTGACTCGAAAATAAAATGATAACGACTTCAGATTAATTTAATTGGACATATTATTGCATAGGAATTGAATGTTTTAATTAAATTCTAACGCAGTTTTTCTAAACAAAAATAATATAGTAACCAAATCTACACTATAAATTTCCCAATGCAATCAAGCCCATTTTATTATATTTTCCTTTTGTTTACAGCTACTGAAAAAACGCAAGTATTAACACAATTAAGTGAGCTAGAGGAGTCAACAAATCAGACACCTGGAAAGAGATGTTTGTGTAAAGAAGAACCTGTTAGCCCTTTTGCTTTAAAGAAAGTGAAAAAAGAGGAAAATACGGAAAACGACAAGCCCAAGTGTAGTGATAGTCAAGCGGTAAGTGATAGGTTACTTTTCATTCATCATGACTGTTAAATTAGTACATATTTATGATTCAGTAACCCTACTATCACTGCAGCTAAATTGTGGTTGTAGCACACATGTTGATAAATAACCTCTGGGAGTGAGGTGGTTGCTTCCAAGCTATTTCTAAAATAAATTGTGTAAATAGTTTGTGCAACCTGTCATATTGTATAATTCACTTTGAAAAACAGTTCCGCTAGTTTTTACCAGGACAGGTTTTTTCGGAACCAGTGGTAAAGTAAAAAATAACTTTCAATAAGAGTTACACGTAATCTATATTGAATAAAAAAAATTCTATTCTATTCTAATAGATCTGCTCAACCGGGGAAGGACCTCGCTTTCACAGAATGCCAGCGTGAAATTATGAATAATTTTAGATAAGGTTTACAATAACAACATTGTGATTCATTTTCGTTTTCCGAAACATTACAAAATATTATGTTGAAATATGAGTATAATATCCACGGACGGGAAAATCACTTATTTTATAGAATAAGGGTGTCTTACGAGCACACAACCCACCTATTCCGGAGATCCGGAGACCTGTTTTTACAGGAAACGATGCATTTTTTTTATAGAAGAGAAACGTACAGTGGTGGACCGCCAAGGATTCAGATGGTGTGGATGGTATCGGGACGTTTGCCGCGTAGTAGCGTTCACGAAATTTGGCGGCTGGGATTAATCCGAACAATTCCTCAGAGCACTTCCCGTGGTAGATGCGAAAGGAAATGCAACATCTCTTCGTAGCGCCAGTGAATCGAGCCGATCGGAAAGCACTTGGTCGTACACGATTCGAGCCGCCCTGCGCTGAATGCGGTCAAGTGGAAGGAGCTGGCACTGGGGAGCCCTAGCCCAGAGATGGGAACAGTATTCCATGTGCGGCCGAATCTGCGCCTTGTAAAGTTGCAGGCGGTGTGCCGGCATGAAATACTGTCCCACTCTGCTGAGCACGCCAAGCTTTTTTGAGGCCAATTTGGCCTTTTCTTCCAAGTGACCACGAAACTGCAGGTCACTCGATATGTCGACGCTGAGGATTCCGATACTGGCTCAGGCAACGAGAGGAGTGCCTTGAAACTGAGTAGATACGACAAAGGGGTTCTTTTTAGCGGTTAACGCGCAAACTTGTGTCTTCTGCGGGTTAAACTGGACTAGATTTAGTCGCCCCCAATCCGATACTTTGTTCGACTTCAGGCACAAGTTTGTCCCGGTACTCGGATACGTTTCCCGAGAAATATTGGCACGATTGGTGTACAGAGTTTCGAGAAATTGGCACGATTGGTGTACAGAGCATCACCAGTGCTGTCATCTGCATGGCAATGAATGTTACGGGCTTGCAACATATCAGTGATATGCAGAAGAAACAGCGTTGGCGATAGAACGCAGCCTTGTGGAACACCAGCATTAATAGGCTTGAAATCGGAGCTTGCACCGTCTACAACGACCTTGATGCTCCGATCAGCAAGAAAGCTTTATAGTGCCAAACACGGCGACAGCCTGCAGAATGCAACTGCGATTTCAGTGTGAGTGGCACCATACTCCGGACAAGACAATGGTCCGAAGAGCCTAAAGGGGCGTCAGCGGAAATCTGATATCCGTCCGGGTGACAGGTCAACAGAAGGTCCAACAGGGAAGGTGCATGATCCTCCACATCTGGATTCCGCGTGGGCTGAGTAACCATTTGTGTCAGACTATATGCCAAGGCAAAATCATGAACAGATCTCCCCGCATGATCGGTTAAACGTGAACCAAGCCATTCGACGTGATGGGCGTTAAAGTCGCCAGGATCACGATCTCTGCGGAGGGGATCTGCTGTAGCAGCGAACCTGTAGCCATTTGGACGTGGTCGAAGAGTCGGTCTGTTTCGGCATTACCGCTATGGGATATGGACGAATTGAGAACCACCTCCTTTTTTGAAGTCGGTTGAAATTAAAAAAATAAATAAATTGTGCTATAACCATCTTGATCACGCCCAACGTAAAAATACTCTGACCGGCGATGGGTGCTTCCCAAGGTGCGTCCAAAAGTGCAAGATCTGACGCACCTGTCTTTTTATGTTAGACAAAATAAACAGGAGATTGATTGTACATTTTAATAATGATTTCTTATATTTACGCAACACATTTAAATGAAACTAGTTTTTTTTATGATTAAATTAAATTAATTTTACGGATTTTATCGCGTTTAATTTTAACTTTTTAATTCGCGACGTTTCGGGTGCTTTACAGCTCCTGATCCGCGTGGCGGGAGATTGTTTTTATATTTTTTAATCCGATAGAAAAACTAGTTTAAAATTATCAATATTTAATATTATTTCACTGTCTCGCTACAGAGTTCATCGGGCACAAGCACAGCCAATGATGACCAGTTTACATCGAAAAAGGTCCTGCCGAGGCGAGAGAGATGCATGTATGGAGCAGATTGTTATAGGTGCGTATTTATTTATTATCTCGACAGTAATCTGTTTTCAGGTAGAAAATAATTATAAAAGTAAAATTACAGCCTATATACGTCCCACTGCTGGGCAAAGGCCTCCTCACACTTCTAAGAGGGTTTTTAGAGCAAGGAAGTGTCCCCCGCGCTGCCCCAATGTGAGTTGGCGGACTTCACATCTTCGAAATATTTTTTTTAATTTCTCAGACAGGTTTCCTCACGATGTTTTCCTTCACCGCCGAGCACGTTGTAAATCAGCATTTAAAATTGCAATTAACAATTTCATTGTTGCCGGCGGGGTTCGAACTCGAGTTGCTCGGTTACTGTAAAATTTACAGCAAGCTCTTAGCCCCCTGAGCTACCACGGCTCTTATATTTAACAGAAGATAATTATATTATTTTTTATTTATTGTAAATATGTGTTATTTTAAAGAAAATAGTGCAGATAGGATTCTTTGTCTCAGGGCAGACGTATAATTTTCGAGGATATTAAAAGTTAAACTTAAAAAATACTTTTGATAAGTACCTAGATATTATCTCTAAAATATTACTATACGAGTATTATTATATTGAATGAAATTAATTCTATTTCTATTCCTATACCGCTCACACCATCTGGTGCTCTTTCTCTTATGTGCTCTTTCTCCTTTTGCATTATACCTTATACATTTTTCATTTTGTTAGGTTTTATTAATTAAAATTACATAATATTTTGACATCCTTAAGCATGTACGTACGTATACGTGGTAGGGCCACGCTGCAACAATTATGGTTGTAACATGAATGGGTCGGCTCGACCGGGAAAGGACCACGCTCTCACAGAATACTAGCGTAAAATAGCAGCTTAATGCTGCTGTGTTTCGTATGGTGAGTGTAGAGAACCGGGGACCTGTTTTACTGGAATCGAGGCATTCCATATTAGTCCTCAAGGGTGACAACGCATCTTCATTTTGATTCTTAATCCACGTTAAATGTAGATGTCTATGGGCCACTGCATCCAATTACCATCAGGTGGACTGTGTACTCGTTTGTCATCCTTATCCTATAAAAAAGGGTACTCGTCGACGTTGTAAGTACGTTGTTTTGCACGCGAAAAGAAGATTGCAACGACTTTATTATTTTATTTATTAATAATATTAAGGATCAAATAAATATATTGATAAGACTACGTGTACTTTTTATCTTAGGATTTACTGTTATCTATTAATGTGGCGTTATTTAGATCTAAGATAAACATCAAAGACCATTATTTTATCAAATTACAATTTCCCAAATAAAATCTATTATTTCGCAAAAAAATTTCGTCTAGATCACTCCTGGCATTGCTCTCTTGTGAAGTTTCATTGCTATCAGTACGTCCGTTCCGAACAATTAGCTCGGACAGAAGGAGGAAATTTAAAAAATGGTTATTGGTTTCAATATATATAATGTAATACGATGTCTCGCTTTTCGAACTATCGTCCAACAATCACCGGAGCAATTTCACTTGCTGTCTCTCATGATGATGATGAGTATGTAGTAGTAGTATTTAGGTAGGTAGGTATATTTGTATCCAAAACTCATTTGGAGTCGCCTTGTACCATAACCTTTACGAAACCCCGTTACAGCCTATTAAAGTACACTGCTAAACGTCGCCCCCCCATAGATAGCCTCATAGAGGAGATATTTGCCATAGTTGCCACGCTTGGCAAGTGGGTTGGCAAACGCAGTTTTTTATTTTTGCTGCTCATCTCCTGATTTGTTTTCCGCCTTTCGCTTTCGCCTCTTACGGTACCCTAGATGATATGGGGTAGTGCAGTGCATATTCTTAAGTTAGTGAAAATATACATACTAATATATAAGTACCCGGATGACCGAGCTTTGCTCGGTTTTTTTTAAGTTACATTTACATATATACAAATTACATGAATAATAGTTTTTGATCTTATTGACATAATAGAAAAAACTGAATTGGTTATTTGAATAAAAAATCATGAGTGCAATTAGTTTAATTAAAATTTTCGTATTTTTAAAAAATACTAAATAAAGGGCTCGAAATAATAGATTTTCTCACAAAAGAAGGGAACGTGAAAAAAAAAGGAAAAAAAGTCGGACCCAAAACGGGACGCGAACCACGGAACTCCGATATCACGCCCGAACAACATCCCATCTGAACTATTACGATCGTTGGTAACCTGTCAAATTTCCCTTCTTATATTGCAGCAGTTTTTTTATTGCCTTAAAACACGCACAAAAGGACATTTTTTAAAAATAAATCCAAGCTAGATCGATTTGTTGCCCCCGAAACTCCCTGGAAAATGGTTGGAGCCGTTTCCGAGATTCTAATTATATATATATATATATATATATATATATATATATATATATATATATATATATATATACAAGAATTGCTCGTTTAAAGGTATAGGGATATAGAATAAATTGTTAATAAATATTTAATATATTTCGATTTCTATTATATTAAATTATTTTAAATAAAACAAACGACCGAAACGTCGGGAATTAAGAATAAGTTAGTTAAACGCGATGAAATCCGTATAAGTAAAAGGTTTTATTCAATGTGTAGTGTTCGCATAAATTTAAGAAATATATATCTAATATATATTTCAAATTAATATATAAATATTAAAAAATAATAAATACGAGGGTGGATTGAAAAGTACTCGGCCTAACCAAGAAAATAAACACATACTAAATCAGTTATATTTTTATTTTTCTACATAATCACCATCAAGTTCAATACACTTTTGCCACCTCCCCTTCCAAGCATTTAGACCGTTGAAAAAAAATGATTCTTCCTTAGAGTCAAAATATGCGTCTACAGCTGCTTTGACCTCGTCGTTTGTCGAAAATCTTTGACTTCCCAAGTGCTTTTTTAGGTTAGGGAACAGAAAGAAGTCTGATGGTGCTAGATCAGGTGAATACGGCGGATGCGGTAACAGTTCAAAGCCACAGTTGTGAATTTCAACCATTGACTGTACTGACGTGTGAACACGGGCTTTATCTTGATGAAACAGGACTTTTCTTCTGAGCATTCCTCGACGTTTTTCTTTTATTTCCTCTCGCAAATGACGTAGTAAGGTGCAGTAGTAATCAGAGTTTATAGTCCGACCCCTTTCAAGATAATCAATCATAATCACACCTTTCGAGTCCCAGAATACTGAAGCCATCACCTTATTTGCCGACAAAATCGACTTAGCCTTTTTAGGGGTGGTGAACCAGGTCTTCTCCACTGTTTTGATTGTTGTTTTGTTTCCGGTGTACAGTAATGAACCCATGTTTCATCCATAGTAACAAAACGATTCAAAAAATCATCTGCAATGGCTTCAAATAACTCCAAACAGTCGCGTGAAATAGTCAATCGCGTCCTTTTTTGTTCAACTGAAAGCAGTCGCGAAACCCACCTCGCAGACACCTTGTGGAAACCCAACTCGTTGACAATGATGTTTTGAGTTCGTTCATAAGAGATGCCTATAATCTCGGCTATCGCTCTAATTTTTAATCTGCGGTCTCCCATTATTAAATCAAGTACTTTTTTAATATTTTCGTCAGTAGTTGACGTCGAAGGCCTTCCAGAGCGGGGTTCATCTTTCACACTCTCTCTACCACGCTTAAATTCTGCTATCCATTTTTTGACGGATGAATATGACAGAGCACAATAGCCTAATGTACTGACCATGTCATCATGGATGGCTTTTGATGATAGCCCCTTCTTATGGAGGGACTTACTGACGGCACGCTGCTCGATTTGCTCCATTCGCGGAAATTATGTCCGATTACTTTGTTAATAAATTTATAAAATCACAACTAATTATCGCACACGTTTAGAACTTCACACAATGAACTAGTCTAAACTGAACTAAATAATTTGGATAGATTTGATTTTTAGAATTGAATGGATCTGTGTTAGGCCGAGTACTTTTCAATCCACCCTGGTATATTTATATATTACATTATATTGATTAACGTTATATCAGGGTATTCCCAGTAGTATTACCAAATAATCTTATTAGTGAAACCAATAGGATTACCAAGTAAAACTAACTAACCCTTGGGTAGAAAATTGACGTGCAGTTTCGTGGTCACTTGGAAGAGAAGGCCAAATTGGCCTCTAAAAAGCTTGGCCTGCTCAGCAGAGCGGGACAGTATTTCATGCCGGCACACCGCCTGCAACTTTACAAGGCGTAGGTTCGGCCGCACATGGAATACTGTTGCCATCTCTGGGCTGGGGCTCCCCAGTACCAGCTTCTTCCTCTTGACCGCATCCAGCGCAGAGCGGCTCGAATCGTCGACGGCGAAGTGCTTTCAGATCGGCTCGATTCACTGGCGTTGCGAAGAGATGTTGTATTTTATCGCATCTATCACTGGGAGTGCTCTGAGGAATTGTTCGGACTAATACCAGCCGCCAAATTTCGTGAACGCACTACACGGCAAACGTCCCGATACCATCCACACCATCTGGATGCTTGGCGGTCCACCACAGTACGTTTCACAAGGAGTTTTCTTCCACGTACAACCTCTCTGTGGAATAGTTTACCACCGGCGATTATTCCGGACCGATAAGACCTGGAGACCTTCAAGAAAAGAGCTTACTCCTTTCTAAAGGGCCGGCAACGCACCCGCAATTCTCCTGGTGTTGCGGTTGATCATGGGCGGCGGTAGTCACTTAACATCAGGTGAGCCGCATGCTCGTTTGCCCCTTCTTCTATAAAAAAAAATAGTCTGTAGTCCAGTAGATTCTAATTTTCATCAGTACCTAACTACTTTAGTTTATTTTTGGCATAATGGTCTTTTGGCTTTTTTAAATAAATAGTAGGAAAAGTACTAGGCAAGCATAAACGTGAAAGAGTATTTCGGTCACCGCGGTCAGTACCAACGGAGAGTTTGAATCCTGAGGAAAGGAAAGGAGAGTTCGAATTCTGAATTGGACCAAAAATGGGAAATGCAATGGGTTTTTCTGTTAAAGAAATTCTCAGTAGCAGCCCGACCGCTCC